GGTGACTGGTTTCCACAACAATGCCCCTCAATTCCGGTTTGTGCAATGGCGAAATGTGGTTTTGAGCATCGATACAGACAAATCCAATGAAGAAGACCTCTTAAATGCAGTGGCACAAGCATAGCTTATCATCGAACCACTGGGCTACCTTCTCACAGAGTACACAAGCTATCTGACACATCTTGAGTGCCTGGTCATTATGTACTATTTTGGGAGCTCATTAAAACGAGAACAAACAGTGATGATCTCCAAGAACTTGAAGATGATCTTGATCGAGCGATAATGGAGCAATGCTGCTCAAAGGTGGAGGAATCATTGGACTATGTATATAGGAGGTGCAGAAAAAAGGATAATTCAATAGGGGCATTGGAGATTAGGGTGGTGAAGCATGGGACATTTGATTCATTGATGGATTTTTGTGTTTCAAAAGGTCCTCTGTGAATCAATACAAGACTCCGAGGTGCATCAAATCTGAGGAAGCCATTCAAATATTGGATTCAAGGGTGGTGGGAAGATTTTTCAGTAAAAAAGTTCCTTTCTGGGAGCCCTTTAATATCCAAACTAGCTAATTAAATACTGAACCATTAGCCAGCAATGTGGGTATATGTTCCAGTCAGGGGGTTGATTTTCTGCATTGAGATGCCTCTAGTCATTACTCGTTTGCATTTGACTTTGTAAAAGCTCTTGTTTTATCACTTATGTTTTTCTCATTCTTCTTCTTCTTCTTCTGTCCTTTTTGGACACTTGTGTATGCTTGATTTGTACTGAAATTAGACTACCTGAGGAGTGAGGTTTGTTATCTCTGTGACCATGTTTTCAAATTTACAACTTGTACCCTAATGCTTGCACAGTAATGGGATTTTTTTTTTTGGTTTAAAAATAAATAAAAAATTCTAAAGCCAAATGATATACCAGAGAGATAATTACAGGAGTAGGACGACATAATGTATTGAAACTTCTGTTCAATGTAAAAGGATACAGTACAACAGAGAGGGAAACAAATATTGGTGGGTGCCTCTTTACCTGGACATGTGCAATGGGGGAAGAGACTGGCAATGTTGTTGCACTTCAATTAAATTCAGATGGGTAAGGCGGCATTCTGCCTTGGAAAAGTCATTTCACTGTCGAATTGAAAAATCTAGGATCGGAGATGGTGCGATACAATATGGATCTTCTATTCTCAAATTTTTTTGTTCTCATATTTCAAAATATTCACAATCATTGAATCATTAAAAATCTTCCTTCCATGTGCCAATTCATTGTCAAATTGAAAAAAAAAAAAGAAAACTAGAGTCAAGTTGGGTGCGATGACATGGGATTTTTAATTTCTATATCTCTCTGTCTCCTTGTCATAAAATCACTCGATCATTGAAGTTCATCCTAGCAAGAGTCATTTCACTAGCCAAATTGAAAAGGCTAGTATCACAAGGTGGGTGTGGGATACTCAGAGATGAAGAATTGGAAAATAAAGCGCAGCATGCATGTTCATAGGGAAAAAATGATGCATAAGAGAAATGGGCAGCTGATGGAAGAATGCAATTGGAAGGAAAACAAAAATGGTAGAAGCAAAAGAGAGAACATAAGAGTAAACCCAATGAGCAATAGGATGATCAAGCACCAAAATTTGGTGTTATTATCTTCTGTCAATATAATTATTCCAAGATCTTTTTTGATGCATATTTTACATCACATTTTAACTTTGTTTTTTAACAAAACTATGGATACAAAATTAATCACATAAGATAATTCTAACAATACATATCACATGGTAGGATCATCATAAAAGACATAATTTGACTTAAATTACTGTACTTATGTTTTGTGTAGGTGGTGCTGTGGACCGTAGACTAATTGTAGTTTATTTGTTTTTTGTTTTTTGTTTTATTCTTTCACATTGGTTGGCTGGGCTCCAAACGTAGAGGAGACCCGCAATTATAGTGATGGAGGGAGAGGCATGAATGCAGCCACGAGGACTATAGGGTCCGAAGGAAGTTGAGATTTTGTTTTATTCTTTCACATTTGTTTGTGAGGAAAAAAGTGAAATATTTTATAAATTTGATATGATATTTTATCTTATTAATTATTTTAATTTATTTTATTTTTTTGTGAATTTTAGTCAAAAAAATCTCCTAAATCCAACTTAGCTAAAAACACGCTTTGCCTTAACAATTTACTATTAATAAAACTTGCACCATCATTCGTTATGCGAGTATTGATTTATGTATTAATACAAATTTAATTAATTATGTTATTATACATTTTCTTTTCTTTTTTATTATAGTTTAGTGAACTTATCTAAATTAGTTTTTTTTTTAATTTAAATGAGAGAATATCTAAGTATTTGCTTTATATTTATCTGCTTTGAAAAAAACAGTTATACCATAATTTTTCTGTCATAAAATTCAGAAGAAATGTTAAAAACTCACTAAATTTCTCAAATATTTACGATAATAAAATTAAAGTTTACAAGCTCATTAATGTCCATATAACAATATTCAAAAAATGGATTACATAACTATACCATTAAGAATTCTATTATATCTAATAATTTTTTTATCGAATTTTATAAAATACATATATTTAATTAAAAAATTATTAAAATATAAAATTAATATTGTCAATAATAACACGAGTCAGCACGCTTCTTATAGATAGGATTATAGATATATAATGATTCGCGTCCACTATCCAAAAATTCCGACCCAAGGCCGCGCCTAAAACATATCGGCGAGTCGCAGCAGCATTGTCGGGTCAAACCATCATCCCCACGCGCAAAGCCAACAAACATCGGCCTAAGCTAGAGGCGTTACTATTCTCACACCACCAGCCATAGCCAAAGCCCAGAACAAGTGGATGGTGGTTCGAACTTCCACACCCAATCCCTTGTGTATGAGTTGTGATTATTGAGGCTGATATACTGTAAAGTAAATGCCTTGATTGGAACAGTGCTATTCTTTCTAAATATTTCTTAAATTTTAGAAGAATCGGATCACTGGAATGAGTCAGACTAAGAACGACTATTACCATTTGTGTTATTGCTGATTGTATTATGTTTTCGTTGTGTAATGTATTGTTTATAATATCGTATTTTCAACATTTAGATTAATTTTTTTCTGATTTACAATTTTTAATGCTCCTAATACACCATTTCTGATCAGGCTGCATTGACTTATCATATACTTTTGGGGCTCTTACTGATTATGTACATATAATCTTACTATATTTTTTGATAAAAATATATGTATTTATTTTTTGCTGTGAAAATAAGCACATAGATTACTCGCCCATATCTTCCTTATTTAACAGTTTTAAGAAATTAAAAATCAAGGACTTTTTCACAAGCAACCATTGTGTTCTTTCGTATATGTTTATATATAATATTATGATCGCAATCTATCTTGCGCACACGCTATTTCTATACATTCTCTGACGTCATCCTCAATTGTATTATATTATCTAATTTCTACTCTTTTTTTTGTAATCTTTTTTTAGACGTTGTAATACGGAACTATCTTTAGTTCAGATGTGAGATTGCATCATTGATTTGAAGGGAAGTGATTGAGGACTTAAATAGCCATTGATAAACACAAGTAGTTCTCAGCTCATATTATGGCTGGTGACCCTATTTGTCCATCTTTCCGAGTAAAACGAGAAAAAACAAATGCCTTTAATCATAAAACGTCGTTAGCCATATAGATAGATGTTGAAGAGAAAGAGAGAGGGTCGTTGTGTAGGGTTGCCCTTGTGGCGGTCAAGTTCCATTTTACTGGGTAATGGTTTGATTGTTTGAATGTTTTATATTAATTGTAATTATATTAATATATTATAGACAAAAATAAAAGCCCATAGTTTTTTTCTTTTTGTGTAAAGACCAAAACCACATCAATCTTCATATTGTATGACCCATAGTTTGTCCTTATTTTTGTGGGTTCTCATAAATGAGCTAATCCTTAACAAAGATATTAAATTTAACAAACATACTTGGCTTGATTAGATAATTAATATCTGGATCGAGGACAGTGTTATTGCATAGTTGTTTCGCTAATCGTCACTAATATTTTTTTTTTGGAGATTGTGTTTAGTGGATAATTTTTGACATATGATGTTTTAATGCTCGAGATGTTGCTGATGCTTTGTTCTTGCCTCACAATTTGGCTGTGTTGCCTGAGCGTTCATTCTTTAAGGCCTAGACACCTTCGAAAACCTTTTCCACTTAGAACTTCGTGGAAATCCCTTCGGACCTCCATCTCCACCCTGCATAATTGACCGAGATGTCACCATCTAGTGCCGAGGCGCGGAGTGTAATACGGCCCAGGCCGAGTGATGCTGCATCATCAAAATACGCCAGACATGTTAATATCTAGGGTTTAATCCTTGATCCTTGCATTTAGTGATTTGTTTCCTGGAATGTATGACCTAGACCGACTACTGGCGTTTCCTTGAACACATCTAGCCAAGTTTCTAGTGGGCACAGCGAGTCAAGTGTTTCCTTCCAACCAATGTCACTGCCACCTCCGGCTTGCCCGGAGCCTTCATGGTAGCGAAATTGAAGTCGTTTACCTTTGCTATGGATGCTCTTGCTGTTAGCTGTTGAATACACTTTGTTACTGATCTTGCCTCCAACAGTCACAGAACCAAACCTTTCTCGAGTAGAACCAACCAGCGGCCACGTGCCCCATTAGCCAGAGAGGATTTAAACGTTAGTGACTGTACGGGAGAAACATAGTCATTTGTATCAAACTCTGGCCTTTTTAGAGAGAGAAACTCTAGAAGAAGAAGAAAGTTGATGCAAGAGATATTGAACTCTGCCAGGCCTTAATCGTTGAGCTTGAACCCAATTAGATTCGTAGATTTTGATCTTGTTAGAATCTTTAACCACTACTCTTTGTGTTCCTTATTGTTCATCTTAGCTGCATTAAGCATGAGGATCGAGCACAAATTTGTAAGCACATGCATTAGATTTCAACAGTTGTGGTTTAGAAAGACGAAAATGGTAAATTCATGCATTAATTGAAGAAAAAGCCTCGTCTGATCCGAAAGTTATTGCATAAGCTCAGTTTTTGTGTTTCGTTTTTGATAAGATCTTCGCAGTATCGTAGTACCCAGAGTCCATGGTATTTTGAATTCATAGCATGAAATTACATTTCAACTGTATCGTTAAATAGCAAGTTTTTATCTTTGCATTCATCTCCTCCAATGGGTTCGATGTCTTCCTGTTCTTCATGCTCATGTTCTTCTGTGTTTACAAGAGGGAAACCTAAAGATATTTCCCGACTTCGCTTTTGAAATGTGCGCCTCGGCTTTCGACTCCACAGGCCCAAACACCTCAGAGCAAAGGAGCAGTTTTTGGACCTCGGCCTAGCATCCCTGACGTAGCTCTGTATCCCGAAGCATGTGTTTCAAGAAGATAAGATGACGTTTGGTTTTATCATTTTGATGCTTACCTCCTATTTTAAAAGTGAATGTCGATCTTCGTTCATTGGCTATGCGTGCTAGGCTGTGTTAATCTGAGATAGTGCATTCAATTAGGACTTTGTCACTGTGTTGTAGCGAGCGACGCCGATTCTTGCTTCTTGACCCCGCATGTTTGCTACAGAACCATGTGAGTTGTATTCTTTATGTTAAGCTAAATTTATGTTATACGTTTTGATACAAAACGACTGTTGTTCTTCGCGCTTTCTAGTCTTTGATATAGAACCTATGTGCTTAAGCATGAATAATTGTCCCTATTTTGTATATCAAGCATTATTCTTGTTTTGGATGATCTTCTCCGAAAGGGCCTTTTTGTGCTGACTGACGAC